TGAATATAATTAAAACAATCACATTGTCTCTCCCCCGCCCCAGATCAGTAAAATCTGGCTGCTCTGTCAGCACACTAAGCCTTAAGGTTGTATGGAAGTACCATCTTTGTTGTTCTCTAGGAATCTAATTCAGCCATTTGTTCTGGTTTGGACAGATTCATGTCTAACCCATCTTACTAAAGAGAACACCCCCAAAAAGTAGGACTTTTGAGATGGTGAAAAATAGCCATTCCTTGTGCTCTCCCACCTGATTCCCATTATGAAACACAATTAGCACACCACTGTAAAAGAGAAACAATCTTCTCTGTAGTGTCCCACTACCAATTGCACATCCCCCTTCCTTCCTTCAGACATCTTTCCATGTGCCCTCGACAGGGTGACGGATCTAACCCGTACCTTTTGGTAGTTAATAACAGGATGCAGCTGGCATCTTTAGACATCACTGTCTGAAATCTTACTGCTAAACCACTTTTGATATTTTAAATCAAATGGATTTAAATATTTTGATTTTTATATAAGAAAAGCCCATTTTCTTTTTGAAATACACATTTTTTCAGTCAATACTAGGAATACCTCAAAGTGGTTATTTTTTAGTGAGGGAAACACAAAGCAAATATTCAATAGCCATTGCTCAGAATTATTGTCATAAATTGGAATAACAGGGTCCTGAAATATATATTATGTTGATGAAAGTTTTTACTTCCTTTCCTTATTTTTGCTGTGATGCACTTTCATTAATTGTTCTTAAAAATAAAGTTGTCCTGATCTATGGAGCAAAATGTGTTTATCTAGTTAATAAAGTTTAAAATGCGCGCAGCTATCTGGCCAGTTCCTGAAGGGAAATCTTCATTAAAAGAATTTAATTCTGAACAGAGGGCCAAAGGGACTTAGGTGAGGCAATGCTGAGTACCCTAAACATCGCCACAATATCGGATAACCTTTCTTATTTCTACTATGATTGTCAGTGACATTTTTCAATACTATTAGCCTACATGCTCTTCATAATACTATAGGCAACTGTATAGCTAAAGAAAGGTGACTATGCATCAGACATCCGTTAGATTCAACATTACTTGCTGGTAAGATAAAAAGCACATTAGTAATGCCTGAATAGAAGAGTCGGTGTAACAAAATGTGTGATAGTCCAGGATTCATGAAGAGAATTTCTGATATTTAATAATGCTTAGGTGATCAAACACATTGGTTACCAAAGAGTAGGGAAAGTCAGTCATCCTTGGAACTTTCAGCACTTTCAGCCACAGATTTAAAGCTGGGTCTCAGCCTTCATGTCATAACCAGGGGAAAATAAAGTTACACAAAGGTTAAGGGACTTGCCGAAAAATCACACAGCAAGTCAGTGGCAAAGCTGGGACTAGAAACCAACTTGCCCTGTTCCACTAGCTTAGACTGCCTCTAAAGTAGGATATATTGATTTTTCAGCTCATTTACATCAGTGCCAAGAGACTTCCAGTAGTTTGAGAGTAATGCATTGTTTACTCACCAGCTACTCACTATGTAAATGAGAAACTGAATTGGTTCAGGCAATCCATATAATTTATTTCACTAAGAAATTGTGTAAGAGAAACTGTTCATTTTCACATAAACTCCATTACCGAGAATCTTAATTAGCCATTTCTTCTAGAAAAGACAGCCTCACAACCGAATGAGTGAGTTGTCACCTTGCAACACTCCTGCAGTGACAGAGCCCCTAGATCATTTTGCAGTCTCTGAGAACATTCCAGCTCTTTGGGAATCAAACAAGAAAACTATAACAAGAATTAAAAGTGCTCACCAGTTAGGAGGAGGAAGCAGTAATCAGTTCCAAAATGGCCATGGTAAGGCTCCAGCTGTTTGTTTCTGCCAAACATAAAGGGCCAGCCCGCTGGGAAAAAGGTCAGCTAGTTAACTGCATTGGGGAAAGATAACAGAAACAAGGCAGATATGAAGTAAGGTATTGCTGGGGAAAGGACAGCTGTATCACAGAATCATAGAACTATGGGAGCTCAAAAGAAGTCATCAACTCTAGCCCTTGCACTGAGGCAGGATGACGTAAACCTAGATTAACCCTGATGGGTGTTTGTCCAACGTGTTCTTAAAAAATCTCCAATGAGGGGGAATTTACTGCCCTTGGAAGTCTGTTTGAGCACTTAACTACCCTTATTGTCAAAAAGCTTTTCCTAATATCTACCCGAAGCTCCCTTGCTGCAGATTAAGCCCATTACTACTTGGCCTACCTTCAGCAAGCATAGGCCTTTATAAACAGACCTTAACATATTTGAGGGTTCCCCTGTCAGGCGTCTTTGCTCTAGATTAAACATCCTCAGGTTTTTCAACTGTTCTTCAGAGGTCAGGTTTTCTAAACTTTTATCACTTTTGTTGCTGTTCTCTGGACTCTCTCCAATTTGTCCACATCTTTCCTAAAGTGTGACACACAGTACGCCACCTAGGACCTCACCAGTGCCAAGTAGAGTGAAACAATTGTCTCCAGTGCCTTGCATACCACATTCCTGTTAATACTCCCCAGAATATTTTCCTTTTCCACAATTGCAATAGATTGTTGATTCATATTCAATTTGTGCTCCACAATAACACCACAGCTTCTTTTCAGCAGTGCTACCACCTAGCCACTGACACACAATTTTGTAATTGCACATTTGATTTTTCCTTCCTAAGTGAAGTGCTTTGCACTTGTCTTTATTGAATTTATCTTGTTGATTTCAGACCAATTCTCCCATTTTTCAAGGTTGTTTTGAATTGTAATTCTGTCCTCCAAAGTGCTTGCAACCTCTCCCCGTTTGGCATCATCTGCAAATTTTATGAGCATACTCACCCCTCTGTTACACAAATAATTAATGAAAATATTGAATATTCCAAGACCCAGGACTGACCCCTGTGGGATCCCACTAGAAACATCCTCCCACTTTGCCAGCAAACTATTGATAACTACTGTTTGAGTATGGTCTTTCAACCAGTTGTGCACCCACCTTACAGTAATTTCATCTAGATCACAGTTATTAGTTTGCATATGAGAATGCCATGTGGGACTGTGTCAAAAGCCTTACTAAACTCAAGATCTGTTTAATCTATCTATCTATATCATCACACAGCCATTTTGTATTAGTATTCTGCAGTTTGTTCTCCATTTATGGTCTCTGAAGGTTCCAATCATTTAGAAGTAAAAGCATATTGGTGGCCAGAGTTATCTTATAATTTGTGTCTATAAATAACATCTGGTTTCAAAGAGGCGTAGGGGAAAGACAGGGTGTGGAGTACTCCAAACAAATAGCTACATTTTAAAAATGGCTTTAACTTAGGCAAATCCATGAGCCTGTCTGCTGGACAGGCGGCCATGGTGGAGGTATGGAAACAGGAAAACTTCCTTCTTTGAGATTTTTACCTTGTACACTATTTCTTTCATACCTAGGTAGTAAGATTATAGGTGCTTTACAAATAATACTTTAGGAAAACAGTCAAATTCCATGTTACCCATATCAATGGATGACAACAGTAGGTGCTGTCTTTCTGGGATGTTCGAACAAGAATGATTTGCTTTTGTCCCTGATGTTTATCCAAGAACAGATGGGGATATCTCCAGTTTCATGGCTAACGTAGCTTGACTAGAAAAAGGTTCTAAGCCAGGATGTGATCTGTGGCTCCACCATTTTTGCCGTTATTAGGGTTGGGTACACTATGTATTTTATCATATTTAAGCAGCATTCATAGAGCTAATGTACAATTCTGTATCACGGTTCTAATGCAGTTTTGCTGTTGATAGAGAGGCTTCTTCCACTGTACAGACCCAATCCTGCAAAGCTGCACCACATGGGCAGATTGGAAGCCCCACTCAGGTCAGTGGGCGTTCTTGCAAGCACAGGAGACTTCCTGTGAGTAGATACTTGCATGTTTGATCAGGGCACATATTTGAAACTATGGCAAGTGCTGTTTTTAGGGCATTTAAATATGACCATTGCTAGCCTGGTTTCTCTGATCAATGTGGACAGGGACTCTCCCCATGCCCCTCAGAAAAACCAAGGTCTAAATTCCTTGAGAGAGTGCCTATAGTGTGGTTTTATACCATAGTTTTAGGAAGACAAAAAAATCCCACCCACGCTGATCAAAAAAGTGGTGCTAGCAAGAGTGAGGTTTAAACACAGTTCAACGTGTGAAGATTAGGTTGCCATGAAATTATTTGGAAGTTGGTTTGATGATTTATAAGAGCTTTGTAAATGGTGACTATTGACTTTGTTATACAAATTTCATTTTTTTTTAAAATCAGCCAATTTGTGTTGGTAATTCCAAGCACTAATATGCCTGCTGAGATCAGACTCATCGAAATGACATTTGAACTGCAAGGACAAAGTGAAATGTCAGCAAATATTGCAAGAGACTATGAGAACAGTCAGACAGAAATTAATTTAAAGCAGCAAGGAGAGCTCTTATTCTTTTTAGTATTTATACTAAATTAGCAGCTAAAGCCCACAATGAACACTGAGGCCAATTATTATGTTTAGCATCCACGCTGTACTAGGCCCCTGCCAGACATTCAAGAAGAGGATGGTCCCAGCTTTGAAGAGCTCACTATCTAAGGACATACAGACAAGTAGCCAGAGGAGTCTTTATACATGTCAATTGTAGATGACAAGGCAGAAGGGACTTTAAAAGAGGGGTCTTCTAGAGGCATACTGAGTGGCTGTACCCACAGAGGAGGGTGGTGCATGGAAGAAGGCTCAGAGGAGATTAAGCAAGACACTGACAAACGGCGTTTGCCAAGCAAAATCCTAGTGGTGGAGTATTTGGTTCTGCTGCCGCATCTGGCAAGTTCAAAATGCTTTCCACAGGTTAAACAATTAAGTCTCCATCATGCCCCTGCAAGATAGGTAAGATACTAGGTGATGTACAAGGTGCAAATACTTCTGGCACAAAATGCAACATCTGTTTAACACACTGCATCATGCCTTTTAATACTGACTTTTAACATTAAAATAACTGTAACCATCAAAGAAACATTACTATTTAATCAGTGTTTAAATATTCCACATTTTACATTTCAAACAATGTCAAATATGATATACAATTGGTGTGTGATGGGCAATACTAAACCCGTCATGAGCCTTTCTGAGATCTATTCACCTTATAGGAATGAAAGGGTGAGCATCCATATACCTATCAGTAAAAGATGCGAGAAAGCTAACAGGCATTCAGTAATATACCTAGAGTCATACATGCATACTGATCTATGCTGGCATGTACCACCAGTACACTCATGCCACTGAATGACCAGGAGGTGGTGCTAACACCAAGTTCAACAGAAAACGTTAGATTTTTGCCTCCTATCTCTGCTGTTCAAACAGAAAATCTTTTCTCCAAACACCCCTAAAAACAAAGTAAACTGTGAGTGATATTAATATAGAACTCAAACCAAGAAAGAAAACAGGTTATTCTAAAAGTGTCTGTACAGTGCACTAATGCACTTGCTGAATACAAGATGCCAATTTAAAAAACAAAGCTACTTTTTAAATAAATTATTTACTAGTGAATTTAGGGTTGGTGAAAGGTCTGTGACTGGCAGACGTGGAGACTGAACATTCTTGCTTTACCCACAGAATAAGTACAAGTTTCCCCACACTGCCCCATAAATGTGTACCAGCTGTGTCTTGGAGGGACTACTACATTCTCCATGCCCATTTTCTGCAGAGACTGCCAACAGAGATGCCAATAAGTAGCCATCGAGCAGTGCTTCTTGTAAAGTGGACATCTGTACAAAACTATGGTTGAGTTAAAACAGCAGCAACCTCTGAAACCTGTAATATCTTTCTTATCCATTCCCTGTTAACAAAACAGGCCGCTTATTTTTTAAGCATTCTTATGTTATTGTTTTGCATGGTAAGTTTTCTTCTTGATTTTTAAATGGACAATTTATAGCCTCCCCCAGAAAGGGTGGCAGGATGCCATCGTGATGGAAAAGCAGCTCCCATTAACCCTGAACTGGGTCAGATCAGGTCTTGCATATCTCAAACTGGCAGAGGATTATGTCAGAGCCTTTGGGTAGGAGGGTGCAAAATACACATTGTTGCACTTCTTGTTGACTGGCTTAGGGAGCTCTGCAGCTGAAATTGCAATGCACTGCTGGCATTTTATCTACAGAACATGACAAGAAGAGAAAAACATACAGTGGCCACAGATTGAGGCAGAGCAAAAACCATCACTCAGAGCACCTAAAATCTTTTTATGATTCTCAGAAGTTACAAGCCCTCCTAGAATATGTCCCTTAAGAGTCCCTGGGATTTGACCCTACTTCTATTCAAACCTGTAGTTTCAGGATTTTTGGTATTTAAAAACTGATGCTTGGCCACGAAAATGCTAACTAGAGTAGAACTAGTGACGTAAGTTGTTACTGAAAATTTTAGGACAGCTTGATTTGTGAAGTGCTTTTGCCAGAGGCATTGTGGAAATATTTATGCTTCACATAAAGACAGTATTTTAGTATGCGAATGAGACTGTCAAATTGCAAACAGCAGAAAGGCTGCATAAGGAACATATCACTATTCTCTCAAGTAAGTGTGTGGTTTAGTCAGATCAGGTGTGCACTTTGAACAGAATGCAGGAGCCAGGAACTCCTGAGTTCTTAACCGACCTCTATCACAAAGTTTGAGTAAGTTACATCAGTTCACTTAATTGTACCTCAGCAACCATACATAACAACACTGGCCTTCCCTGCAGGGAGATGTAGAGTATCGAGCCCTTTGAAAAATACTAAGTACTCAGTATTTCTAGTGCCTACAACTCATATAGTAACCATTTCTTATTTCCTTTATTTACCCCAAAGGACTCAAATTCACATGGACACGAACATGTACACCTCTCATTCAGCTTCTCAGACCTAGGCTCTAGAGAAAAAGAAAGTCATTGTGTGGACTAGGAAATTGAAAGACTTAAAGGAAACTTATTTAATCACTCACATTGTTGCACAATAAAGTATACAACCACTGACAATAGCATAAAACTTGGGACATATTGTCCCCATGCCTAGTCAACATCAATTCACTGAGAAAAACACAAGGTTGTTGCCGTTTTATAAAAATGAAGCAAGGTCAAAAGTTCTGAAAAGAGAGAACTGTTCATTTGCTAAGAAGCTCCAAGTTCAACTTTCTTAGGAACCTGTTTCAGTTTTGAGTTCTAGAAAAGAACCTGGTTTCAAAGACTCAGGCTGGTGTAACAATCCAATGCTATTATATAAAATCCACATAAAATCTTTGCAGTATACTTTGTAAGTTGCTTTTGGTTACAAAGAAACTCTGAAGCTGCACTACAGTTAGGCCACTTCTACAAGCCAACAGTTGTCAAATATAGTAGTAGCTTTACACCAAACAAAGATAACCAATTTTCCAAGAGTTTGTCTCCAGTTTTGAATTATTTTTATAGAAGTAGAGAACTCCAACTACAAAGTTTAGATCCACATGTAGATTCTGAAACATCCCAAAGCTTGGGATGGTCAGATCTAGTGATTTAGTTTGGGCCAATCTCAACTTTAAAGAATAGTTAGTATCCAAAAACTAGAGCGGCATAGCTTGCTCATATGTAGGGGTCTGTGATTTCTGCAGCGGAGAGTGTGGCTGATCCCAAGGCCGCGCAAGCAGCTGGCCCCGGAGACTACCTGAGCAGTGGTCCTGTGGGCGGCTGGCACCGCCACAGCTCGGTGTCTCCCGGCAGTGGTCCCAGGGGAGCTGGAGCAGCAGCTGGCCCCCTGGCGGCAGCCAGAGTGGCAGCAGGACCCCAGGGGTTTGCCCCCTGGCAGCAGCTGGAGCGGCAGCGCGATCCCTGGTGCTTCCCTTATTCATGAACCAGGAGGGTGGGGAGGATATAGAGATATTGCTAATTAAATTCAGGTCAGCAGTATTTAAGTCAACACTGAGTAAAGACTGTTACTGAGTTATACATTTAATGAACATGCATTATACTATATATATATATTTATATATCACATCTGTTGCATTATGTACTTGTCAACTATGAGTAAAGGCCAACTATGAGTATTTGAGCCATATTTAGCTGTGATGTAAGTGGTACAAGTCTACTGAAGCCAGCAGAGTTGCACTCCCTTACACAAAGTTTGAATTTGGCCCCTTTCATCAAAACTTTTTACACACAATCTAGTTCCCTTGCATGTCAAGGTGAACTTTGTTTTTCTTCCTTCTGAGATGAAATTCAAGTTCTTAGAATAAGAACCATTAAGATGTCAAGAGACCTGCTACCAAAAAAATAAAAATGGTTGTCTAACAATGTTGACACGAAGAAGAATTTGCTGGCAGGCTACATTTTACAAGTGGACTTTTTCCCAACATTTTTAAAAAAAATTAACCCATACTGTCAAAATTCTGTACACCTGTCTTGGCTTATCCCACATATAATCAACAAGGTCTCATTTAACACAACCTCTCAGTTATACCCAGGCCTCTGAAGTGACATGGTCTCAAATACTAAACTCAGGGATGGAAGTACGCACTCCCAAAGTTCTGATCCCGGCGCTTTCATCAACACCCTCCAAGGGGCCTCTGTAAAAATGGGGACAATATTTACTTCAAGATAGCACTGTGAGAATTAGCATTTTCAAAGCATTGTTCAAAGTGCAATACCTGATCTTAACTTCAGTTTGTGGTTTATAGTAAGGCAAAAAGCTTGTTTTCATATGCTCAAAGTTACTTAACGTTATTTGATACTGTTGAACTTGTCTCTTTCCCCCAACCTACAGAGCTACAGTATATACATAATGTAGTATTTATTTAGGATGCATGAATTATCATTGAAACTTGAGCAAATATAATATTTTGGGGACAAAAGGGCAGTATCATACACTTGTCCTTTACAGGAAGAGGATGTAACAAAGGTAAAAATAATATACATTTAACAGTAACTTTAAAGAGACAGTGTATCCAGGGAAAGAAAACTTAACATAAAGATGCATAATTAGGCTGAGGTAATCTTACTGTGTGATGTGGCAAGAGTACTTACTTCTTGGACCTGGATAAATCTACTCCCTGTGAGTCTGTGTCAAGTCTCTGTTTAGTTTACTGGAACTATAGGTTTTGTTATCATGCAACTCTTAATATTGTAGAGATGAATGCTGCACCTGCAGAGTTTTAGGCACCAAACTATGGTTACAGTTAGAAAAGATATGTGTCTTGTAAACAAAGCAAACTGGATATGGATGTTCTTGATAGAGAAAGCATGGAGCAAAGGTACCATTTCCTTACCATAAACACAATCTAAACAGTATGGACCACATTCTGCCCTCATTCCAGATATAGAATTCACACTGGCAGCAAGAGTGTTATGCCAAATGGAGGACAGAATATGGTACTATGACTGCCTAACCCTACAGTCTAAGAGATGACAGCTATAATAATGGAGCGAGTATTGAAATACCTACTATTATTTGGAAAGCATCAGATAAACTTTTGGAAAATTAATGCAGTTTAGTCTGTTGGCATAAAACATTATTGGAACAGGGCATGAACCAGCTTCCTATGAGTTATCATGAGCATAAAAATCTCTAAATATTGAATCTCAGTCAAATTCACTGAAGCCAATGGAGTTGTACACATTTTCTCCAATGGTAAATTTGGTCTCCTGTCCATAACTCTTAAAACTGTTAGTTAGTGGACTAAGTAATTTTGTCTATCAAAGTATTCTCCAGATGAGGCTATAACTATTCCTGACAGTCTAATGTTTTGAGCTGAGGTCCAAATGGTGTAAAAGCAAATATTTGTTTCCAGGTCCTTTAGGCTGCTGACAAAAACACACAGCATCTAAGAAATGTTTCTGTGCAAATCCTCCACTTCAAAGCTCCACATGCTTCTGTGAATAGGATTATCAGAAAGATCTGTCATCTTCACGGCTTGAAGAATAGGCTCTGGACTGCAGGAGTGTACCAAGCCCATCACCATTACATACTTTCCTAGAAAAAACAAAACGCAATTAACATTCAACATTTTCATTATTCTTGCTCAGGAACCATTATTTCACTTTAAACTATTCGATTATTTTGTTTCAAAGCAGCCAAAAAGTGAAGCAGGGCAGGACCTCTGAGAAAAATGTTAAGTCATCAAAGGCTTGTCAGTGTGAATAGCTGAGAATGCTTACCATATCACAAAATTAGGCCATATATTTAAGAAAAAGGATTTGATATTTGTATGAATAAGAACAGCATCTGCAGTCCCACTGGCTCATATATGATGGATTATTAAATCCTAAAGCATAAACTGATCACCAGGTGGGAATTAGGAAGAAATTCCTGCCCCCATGCAACAATTATTCATACCTCCCAACGGTCCCAGGTTTTGACCCCCAGACCTCCTGTCCTCGTTGACGAAGCTTCTGTCTCATGGGGCTGGCTGGGCTTGGCTTCATCCTCCAGCTGTTATGACCTGGCCCTTGACACACACGGTTGCAGTGCCGCTCAAATGTGGCTGGCCCTCTAACGGTGCAAAATTAGAATGGCACTGCGACCGTGTGTGACAGGTAACAGCCATTCATACAAGTTTGGGGGCAGCCAGGACAATCCTGAGCTGTGCTGTGCAACACAACGGACAGCACCAGTGTCTAGGTTGTAGCGCCTGGAGCGGGTAACTGAGCCTCACCAGGACCTGCTGTTGTATACTGAGTGTGGGGCAGGCTCACTTTGCAATGCTCCAACCAGGGCCTTCCCACACTGGGGCAGCATCTAACCCCCACCATTGTGGGGCAGCACCCATAAGAATGGCCATACTGGGTCAGACCAAAGGTCCATCCAGCCCAGTATCCTGTCTACTGACAGTGGCTCATGCCAGGTGGCCCAGAGGGAGTGAACCTAACAGGTAATGATCTAGTGATCTCTCTCCTGCCATCCATCTCCACCCACTGAAAAACAGAGGCTAGGGACACCATTCCTTACCCATCCTGGCTAATAGTCATTAATGGACTTAACCTCCATGAATTTATCCAGTTCTCTTTTAAACCCTGTTATAGTCCTAGCCTTCACAACCTCCTCAGGCAAGGAGTTCCACAGGTTGACAGTGCGCTCAGTGAAGAACTTCCTTTTATTTGTTTTAAACCTGCTACCCATTAATTTCATTTGCTGGACCCTAGTTCTTATATTATGGGAACAAGTAAATAACGTTTCCTTCTTTACTTTCTCCACACCACTCATGATTTTATATACCTCTATCATATCCTTCCTTAGTCTCCTTTTTTCCAAGCTGAAAAGTCCAAGCCTCTAATCTCTCCTCATATAGGACCCGTTCCAAACCTCTAATCATTTTAGTTGCCCTTTTCTGAACCTTTTCTAATGCCAGTATATCTTTTTTGAGATGATGGGACCACATCTGTACGCAGTATTCAAGATGTGGGCATACCATGGATTTATATAAGGACAATAAGATATTCTCCGTCTTATTCTCTATCCCTTTTTTAATGATTCCTAACATCCCGTTTGCATTTTTGACTGCTGCTGCATACTATGTGAACGTCTTCAGAGAACTATCCACGATGACTCCAAGATCTTTCTCCTGATTAGTTGTAGTTAAATTAGCCCCCATCATATTGTATGTACAACTGGGGTTATTTTTTCCAATGTGCATTACTTTACATTTATCCACATTAAATTTCATTTGCCATTTGTTGCCCAATAACTTAGTTTAGTGAGATTTTTTTTAATTTCTTCACAGTCTGCTTTGGTCTTAACTATCTTGAGCAGTTTAGTATCATCTGCAAACTTTGCAACCTCACAGTTTACCCCTTTCTCCAGATCATTTATGAATAAGTTGAACAGGATTGGTCTTAGGACTGACCCTTGGGGAACACCACTAGTTATCTCTCTCCATTCTGAAAATTTACCATTTATTCCTACCCTTTGTTCCCTGTCTTTTAACCAGTTCTCAATCCATGAAAGGATCTTCCCTCTTATCCTATGACAACTTAATTTACGTAAGAGCCTTTGGTGAGGGACCTTGTCAAAGGCTTTCTGGAAATCTAAGTATGCTATGCCCACTGGATCCCCCTTGTCCACATGTTTGTTGACCCCCTCAAAGAACTCCAACAGATTAGTAAGACATGATCTCCCTTTACAGAAACCATGTTGACTTTTGCGCAAAAATTTATGTTCTTCTGTGTGTCTGACAATTTTATTCTTTACTATTGTTTCAACTAATTTGCCCGGTACTGACGTTAGACTTACCGATCTGTAATTGCCCGGATCACCTCTAGAGCCCTTCTTAAATATTGGCCTTACGTTAGCTATCTTCCAGTCATTGGGTACAGTAGCTGATTTAAAGGACAGATTACAAACCATAAATAGTTCCGCAATTTCACATTTGAGTTCTTTCAGAACTCTTGGCTGAATGCCATCTAGTCCCAGTGACTTGTTACCCTTAAGTTTCTCAATTAATTCCAAAACCTCCTCTAGTGACACTTCAATCTGTGACAATTCCTCAGATTTGTCACCTACAAAAGACGGCTCAGGTTTGGGAATCTCTCTAACATCCTCAGCTGTGAAGACTGAAGCAAAGAATTCATTTAGTTTCTCTGGGATGACTTTATCGTCGTTAAGTGCTCCTTTTGTATCTTGATCAACCAGGGGCCCCACTGGTTGTTTAGCAGGCTTCCTGCTTCTGAGGTACTTAAAAACCATTTTGTTATTACCTTTTGAGTTTTGGCTAGCTGTTCTTCAAACTCCTTTTTGGCTTTTCTTATTACATTTTTACATTTAATTTGGCAGTATTTATACTCCTTTCTATTTGCCTCACTAGGATTTGACTTCCACCTTTTAAAAGATGCTTTTTTATCTCTGCTTCTTTTACATGGTTGTTAAGCCACGGTGGCTCTTTTTTAGTTCTTTTAGTGTGTTTTTTTAATTTGGGGTATACATTTAAGTTGAGCCTCTATTATGGTGTCTTTGAAAATTGTCCATGCAGCTTGCAGGGATTTCACTCTAATCACTGTACATTTTAATTTCTGTTGAACTAACCTCCTCATTTTTGCATAGTTCCCCTTTCTGAAATAAAATGCCACAGTGTTGGGCTGTTGAGGTGTTCTTCCCACGACAGGAATGTTAAATGTTATTATATTATGGTCACTATTTCCAAGCAATCCTGTTATAGTTACCTCTCGGACCAGATCCTGCGCTCCACTCAGGAGTAGATGGAGAGTTGCCGCTCCCCTTGTGGGTTCCTGTACCAGCTGCTCCAAGAAGCAGTCATTTAAAGTATCAAGAAATTTTGTCTCTGCATTTCTTCCTGAGATGACATATACCCAGTCAATATGGGGATAACTGAAATCCCCCACTATTATGGAGTTTTTTATTTTGATAGCCTGTCTAATCTCCCTTAGGATTTCATCACCACTATTACTGTCCTGGTCAGGTGGTTGAGAATAGATCCCTACGGTTATACTCTTATTGGAGCACGGCATTACTATCCATAGAGAGTCTATGGAACATGTGGATTCATTTAAGATTTCTATTTTATTTGATTCTACATTTTCTTTCACATATAATGCCACTTTCCTCCCGCACGACCTGTTCTGTCCTTCCGATATATTTTGTACCCCAGAATGATTGTATCCCATTGATTGTCTCCTAGTCCTGAAGCATACTTTACCCTCTCAAAATGCTGGAGGTAGGATTACGTGCACTGAGGATGTGGGCCTGAAGCATCTGGCACAAGTATCTTTGCAGGTTGCCCATCCTCTGCAGTGTAACCCCCTTGCATGCATGTGAATCCTAGGGCTGAAACCACTATGTCGCTCTGCCTCCAGCATATGTGAGACTCATGCGCAGGAGAAATAGACCCTCCCAGGTATGTATGTGTTCAGGGGATCCCACAAGGCAAATATATTAGCACCCCAGCATGTGGGGGGAGTCCCCGCCAAGAAATGGGAGCCGTAAGCCCCCGCCCATGGTTGTGTATGGGGGGGCCCTATAGCTCAGGAACAGTAGGGCCCCCTGTGTGTGGGGGGGTCCCTATAGGAGAGGAACAGCAAGGCTCCTCCCCCTGGTGGCAGCTGGTGTGGGGGACCCCACGGGGCAGGTTTCCTCCCCCCCATGGCGGTGGGCGGGGGGACCCCCCGCCAGACTGTTTGGCCCCGCAGGGCGGGAGTACACACTCTCTAAGCGGGTCCCCCACACTCCGCCCCACCCGCGATTTGCGGCTCCCCCAGGAGGTACCTGCGCTGAGGCACGGCCGCCCTTTGGGGACCCGCTCCACCCCCAGCACCGTGAAGGGGCCGCTCTCGTCCTGCAGCCGGGCCGAGCCGCCCCGGGCGCCCCCGGCCTCCACCGCCAGCACCGTGCCCTGCATCCACACCACCGGCACCGCCAGCGGGCCCTGCCCGGCCTCCTCCCGTCCCAGCAGCCACGGCCCGCCCGCGGCCCGCCGGCACCGCTTCAGCTGGGCGGCCAGCACCTTCACCGGCGGGCTGCGCGGCTCCCCGGCCATGCTGCCCCCAGCGCGGCCCGGGCCCGGCTGCCGCCCGCGCTTGGGGAGGGGCTCCCGGCACAGGCCCCAATGGCGGGCCGGGGCGTGGGCGGACGCCGGGCTGCCGCCGCGGGAGGAGGGTTGTGCGCGCTCAGGACGCCCGGGGCCCCCCCGCAGCTCAGGGAGCGGGGGGTTGCGACCCCATCGCTAGCACGTGGGTCCCCCCCGGGGCCCCACAGCGCCGTGAGAAGCCCCTGATCACTGCACAGCCGTTTCCAGCCCTGGCTCTCCGGGTTCTCTCCTCTGGGCCAAGGCAGGGGCCCTGCCCGGGCCTTACACGTTAAGGCCTGGCCGCTATGCACGTGCTTCTCCTTAGAGTTGGGGGGGCCTGCTCAGCCCACGCCGCGGGCTGTAACAAGCACACTGGCTCGGGCTTGCAGGCGATGGGGCGGGAACACACACAGGCTCCAGAGGATGGGGGAGGGCTGGGTGCAACAAAACTGTTTTACGTTATCGTTTAACCTTTTCCTGTTTGCTTTTTTTATGTGCTTTGTTTTTTTTTTACTTTAGCCTAGTTGTTGCTTTGATTATGCTTTTAATCTCCTGAAAAAATAAGCAAGTCATGACCTTCTGCCACTCTTGCAGCATATGTCATGCTTTGAAAAAATTGGCAAGGAGGTCCATAGAATCATAGAAGATTAGGGTTGGAAGAGACCTCAGGAGGTCATCTAGTCCAATCCCTGCTCAAAGCAGGGCCAACCCCAACTAAATCATCCCAGCCAGGGCTTTGTCAAGCTGGGCCTTAAAAACCTCTAAGGATGGAGATTCCACCACCTCCCTAGGTAACGCATTCCAGGGCTTCATTACCCTCCTAGTGAAATAGTGTTTCCTAATATCCAACCTAATATCTTGCACTGCAACTTGAGACCACTGCTTCTTGTTCTGTCATCTGCCACTACTGAGAACAGCCGAGCTCCATCCTCTTTGGAACCCTCCTTCAGGTAGTTAAAGGCTGCTATGAAATCCCACCTCACTCTTTTCTTCTGCACACTAAATAACCCCAGTTCCCTCAGCCTCTCCTCGTAAATCATGACCCCAGCCCCTTAATTATTTTCATTGCCCTCCGCTGGACTCTCTCCAATTTGTCCACATCCCTTCTGTAGTGGGGGGGACCAAAACTGGATGCAATACCCCAGGTGTGGCCTCACCAGTGCTGAATAAAGGGGAATAATCACTTCCCTCGATCAGCTGGCAATGCTCCTACCAATACAGCCCAATATGCCGTTGGCCTTCTTGGCAACAAGGGCACACTGCTGACTCATATCCAGCTTCTAGTCCACTGTAATCCCCAGGTCCTTTCTGCAGAACTGCTGCTTAGCCAGTCGGTCCCCAGCCTGTAGCGGTGTATGAGATTCTTCCATCCTAAGTGCAGGACTCTGCACTTGTCCTTGTTGAACCTCATCAGATTTCTTTTGGGCCAATCCTCCAATTTTTCTAGGTCATTGTGGACCCTATCCCTACCCTCCAGCGTATATACCACCCTTCCCCCAGTTTAGTGCCATCTGCGAACTTGCTGAGGGTGCAATTAATCCCATCATCCAGATCATTAATAAAGATATTGAAGAATACCAGCCCCAGGACTGACCCCTGGGGCACTCTGCTTGATACCGGCTGCCAACTAGACATCAATCCGTTGATCACTACCCGTTGAGCCTGACAATCTAGCCAGCTTTCTATCCACTTTACAGTCCATTCATCCAATCCATACTTCTTTAACTTGCTGGCAAGAAAACTGTGGGAGACCATATCAAAAGCTTTGCTAAAGTCAAGATATATCACGTCCACACTTTCCCCATATCTACAGAACTAGTTATCTCATCATAGAAGGCAATTAGGTTGGTCAGGCATGACTTGTCCTTGGTGAATCCATGTTGACTGTTCCTGATCACCTTCCTCCTCCAAGTGCTTCAAAATGGATTCGTTGAGGATCTGCTCCATGATTTTGCTGGGGATTGAAGTGACGTTGACCGGTTTGTAGTTCCCCGGGTTCTCTTTCTTCCCTTTTTAAAATATGGGCACTATATTTGCCTTTTTCCAGTTCTCCGGGACCTCTCCCGATCGCCACAAATTTTCAAAGATAATGGCCAATGGCTCTGCAATCACATCAGCCAGCTCCCTCAGCACCCTTGTATACATTAGATCTGGACCCATGGAGTTGTGCATGTCCAGGTTTTGTAAATAGTCCTTAACCTGTTCTTTCACCACTGAGAGCTGCTCACCTCCTCCCCATACTGTGTTACCCAGTGCAGCATCCATACTGTTTGGGTAATAAACTCAGACAATACAAAGATAAGTATTATATATAGTCCAATACATATTTGGGGCCAAATTCTCCTTAGTTACAACTGACACTACTCCACTGGGGTGGTGGCAGGGTAGATGAGAAGAGACTATGACCCTTGCCTTTTAAGAAAAAGCAGCCTGAAAAAATTCTTCCAGCACATATGCATTCACCCACTACCCACCAATCACAGTGTCAGCTGAAAAATTAAGCCTCTTTAATTTTTCCCTCTATTTTTTGTTGAAAATGAAAAGCAGCTTTTCACAAGCAGACAGGACAAATTAAAAAAAAGAAAAGAAAAGAAAATCACTCTTTTGCCCAGACCAGAAATTCATTGTATTTGACAAACAACAACAACTACATACCCGTCAAACAGAAGAGATGGAGTTCTGTCCCAGCCCTTGGTTAATATTACATAGAAGAGTTGCTTGAGTTTTTTTCCTCACAATTTCTTTCCCCAAAAACCCAAAAGGTCTGGCAGGCCACACTAACTGGTTTTCAAACGACTTTTAAAAGCAGTTATGGAATTCAAACAACCAGGACTTTCATCGCTGATTTTTTTTAAAAAAATAAGAGCATTAGATAGATGACCTGAAGTTGACTGGGAGACGAAACATGATGCATAAGACCAACCAACATGTGGGTTAAATGACAACATTTGAGTGGCCTAGAAACTCTCAAAACAAATGATTTAGGAAACGTTAATGCCAGCCCCAGAAATTCAGAGGAGCGTCCGCTGGGGGTTGTGCTAAATGTACAGCTCTAGAGTTTGGTTGCAGATTCTGTAATACTTTGTGTACTTCCAGATACTGAAGGTGGGATCCACAAAGCGACTCGGTTGTTACAACATTGAGAGTAACGCTGCCAAACTTTTAGGTGCTTAGAAAATTACAGGAACAACTCTGCAATCCACAAAGCTGAGTTAGGCACCTAGGCTCCCTATACAATGAATAGAAAGAGATAGACACCTAAGAACACTGTCCACAAAAGCCAGAATGCTAAGCAAGAAGCTGCCTGAGCTAGCCTGTGGGATGCCATGGACAAGGTTATGTGCTAAGCCCTGCCCCTTTCCTGGAGATAGGTGTCTAGCTCTGCTTAGCAATCCACGAATGGGAACCCACTGCCTGAAGTCAGGCAGCTTAGGCACTTAAGAAGTTTCTTGCAGAAATGAGTTCAGCACCTGCCTCGCTCCACACAAAATTGCCAGAATTGCCCACCTTATAACTTTTATTCCACTGGTTAGAGTACTCACCTGTGATGTGTGGGACCCAGTTGCAATTCTCCCCCTAGAAGGGAGATCCCTGTTCAAATCCTACCGCTTAGGAGAGTGTGCTAACCAACTGAGTTGTGGCGTATTCTGATGCATGGCTCCCAAAGAGTGATTGTATCGGGGGGACTGGTCCTATGTCTCCCAACTTCACATAGATGCCCTAATCATAGAATATCAGGGTTGGAAGGGCCCTCAGATGGTCATCTAGTCCATCCCCCTGCTCAAAGCAGGACCAATCCCCAAATGGCCCCCTCAAGGATTGAGCTCACAACCCTGGGTTTAGCAGGCCAATGCTCAAACCACTGAGCTATCCCTCCCGTACAAAGTCATTTCCTTTCTCGCTCGCTCAAATACTATTTAAGTAGCCACAGTGGAACAATCATTGAGCCAGACTGGAGTGGAGGGTGGGAGGGGTTTTAGGCATCTGAGTACCTTTGTCGATCTGGGACTGACTGTCCCAAACCATAGTAAACAGTAGAGTCAAGTTACAGGATTGTTTCTTTCAGATCCTTTCTCAGTAAAAGGAAGTGGTCTATAGAAATGAAGTACAATAGGAACAAGCCTGACAATAGTACTTCATGCAAATACGTTACTTTCTGTAAGTGAAAAAGGGATCCAAGCTAAATTATCTTCCTTTCCTTTGTATTCAGATGACAGCAGCTTGGCAGACAGGTTGCGGGAGAGGACCAGGTCACGCGTTTTCATTTTGTGAAAGTAGTGTGTTATGTAGTTGTGTGTGACTGGTGCAATATAAATCAGTCACACAACTGTAAAATGTAATACTTTGCTGGTCTTTGCTTTTGCACTGCGCAGAAGATGCTGTAGTGATCTACTGACAGAATATTAGACCCAGATTTGGGAAGATATTTTCAGCCTCCAGCTTTTTATGGCATTTTCATCACCACTGGCTTTTAATTAGTGACAAGCTAATAGGTTAACAATCAGACACATCCCACCTCCCTAATATGAGATTCTGCTACCTCTCCTTTAAACTTTTGAACCGATTCGTCTAGAATGCTAATCTAGGAGACAAGCAAATAGTATGATGAGACATGAAAACTCTCTAAGGGATCTGCCAAAGTTTTAGCTGATAGATGAGATTTTAGCAACAATTTGGAGGAGACATAAAACCGGCCTTGCATCAGAAGCCAATTATTGCACAGTGAAGTGCTGCCCAAAAATTTAATGATGGGATTCCCTCAAAAATTGTCAATCTTAGTTGGCACTACATATTATATTTCCTAATGTAAAGCAGACAGGAACCAATGGGGAGAAAGGTAAGGGCCAACAGCTGCAGGACTCCCATACAATACATCAGGTGCAAAACACCACCACCTCCCCATGTGCTTGCTGAAGCAGCTAGCTGCAGGAAAAAAATTAGTGCATGCTACATGTGGTGCCCGTGGGGGACACATGCAGGGAGTCTGCTTATAACGGCTGTCAACGCAATGACAGGTGCCCCCACAGTGCTGCAGATGAGTGTGCAGGAGCTGGCTCAGTTCCAAACTCAGAGAGGGCTGAAATTTCAGCAGGCACAGCCAACCTTACCATACTTGGCAATTTCATTGCTGTCCCCACCATGACCCAAACTTAACCTGTTCCTGTGACCCAAGAACCCCTTGATGCCATCTGGCAGAGGACACAGGAGTACATAGGGGTACAGCAATCCCCTGGGTTCACCAAAAGAATTTCATGTGCAGTCTCTAATGAAAGCCTGTGTCACATCGATCTCCATACTCATTGCAAGATGTATGTACAGAAAATATGTGAGGAGTTGTGTCGCTATACTGAAAATTATGTTCTCTAGGCCTTATAGTTAAAGGCAGTGTGATGGGTTTGGGCCCTTTGGAGGTGTCACCTGATGTGCTGGGATGCCACTGAGTCAGCCTATTCTGCCAGCCTGGGTCCCCTTTACCTGGCCTTGCTGGGTTAGGCTCACAAGCCTCTTCCAGCCAAGCACACAGGCAGGGCCACACCCAGCTGCACAGAGAGACAGAGATCTGCTCTGGAAAAATTCAGCCTTAGGGGCTTGCCCCAAAACTCTCATTCCCACTCCCTTTAAGGGGTACAAACCCCAAGGTTTTATGAAATTCGCCCCCTCCCTCAATGTAGAGGGAGATATGCACAGCTTCTTGCCCCCCCCCCCGTTAAAAATTACATAAACTGGGGTATAGTATAAACAAGAAATAAGTTTATTAACTACAAAAGGTGAATTTTAAGTGAATATAAGAGACAACAGACAGAACAAAGCAGATTGCTGAAGAAATAAATCAAAAATGCAAGCTAAGATCAAAATACCGAAGAAATAGGTTATAAAATGTAAATTCTCATCCTAAATGTTATTTTAGGCAGGTTGAAAAGTTTCTGTGTTTCGAGTTCCAGTTATATTTCTTTTAAGACTGGACTTCCCCGCTGCCTTCCCTTCAGGTGTTTTTAGCAGTCTTTCTTCTTGGGCAGACAGGCCATGGAGAGGATGAGTCACGTTTGCTTTCCTTCTCACCCTTAAATAGGATTTACATAGGGTAGGAATTCTTTGTTTCCCAAACTTGACCCCCCAGCCCTTCCAGTGGAAAGTTACAAGAAGTCCCAGGTAATGTTTAGTATCAGGTGACAAGACCACCTGACTGTAGTATCACATCATCCATGAGTCAGCGGCTCCGGCCAAGCCTCTTCACAGTCCATTGTCCTCGCTGATGGGCCATCCACCCTGTCTGACTTTTCCATTGTTGTACCTGAAGTGTTAGCAGTGGGCGTCACCCAAAGTAGCATAGCTGAAATACAGATACATAGTCAATATCTTAACTTCAGATACAGAAATGATACAGGCATACAAATTGGATAATCACATTCAGTAAATTATAATCTTTCCAATGATATCTTACAAGATCCATCTTGCATTAAGTATCTCTCAGTTATGTCATATTCATATCATAAGCATATTTTCATAAATAATATGGAGTGAAAGCCAGGTCTCTCAAAAGTAACATGCTTCTCCAGACAGACTTCTCCAGACAGAAGGTAGGAGACATATTTCCCTTGTGGCCCATTATGTACTATGTTTCTGATAGAAGTCTATTAGCATACTGAGTCAAATGCTAATGAAGAGCTTGTGGAGACTTCTTCAAAAGGAAATTAACAGGAAGATGTAAACAGCTGGGGGAAGGGTGGGGAGGGTTGCCAACTTTCTAATTGCACAAAACCAAACACCTTTGCCATGCCCCCTGCCCCACCCCTTCTCTGAAGCCCTGCCCCCACTCACTCCATCCCCTCTCCCTCCATTGTTGGCTCTCCCCTACCCTCACTCATTTTCATTGGGCTGAGGCAGGTGGTTGCGCTGTGGGCTCTGGGGTGGGGCCAGAAATGAAGAGTTTAGGGTGCAGGAGGGGCTCTGAGCTGGGGTAAGCATTTGGGGTGCAGGAGGGGGGTGCGGGCTCTAGGATGGAGCTGGGGATGAGGGGTTTGGAGTGCAGGAGGGGGCTCAGGGCTGGGGCAGAAGGTTGGGTATGAGCTGCAGGAGTGAGTTTGGGTGTGGAAGGGAGCTCAGGGATGGGGTTGGGGTGCGGGAGGGGATGTGGGCTCTGGGAGAGAATTAAGGTGCAGGAGGGGGTTCCAACCTGGGGCAGGGAGTTAGGGGTGTGGGAGGGGGCTCCATCTAGGTGGCGCTTACCTCAGGCAGGCTCCCTGCCTGTCCCGGCTCCGTGTGGCTCTCAGAAGCGGCCGTCATGTCCGGCTCCTAGGCACAGGGTAAAACTGCCCTCCAAATCAACTTCTTCAAAATCCTGCAAACACGCCTAAGGAGCCCTTTGCAAACACAATTACTCAAGCATGTGGATGACATCAAATGTGTTTGCTCCTTAATATCCACTAAAATGAAGCCAGAAATTATTTCAGTTGGATCAATTCTTCCCACTTCATTTAACTTTATAAAAAACACCAGGCTCTTAAAAGAAGCTTGACATACAATATTTCCTGTCAAGAGGAACATGGAGAGCTGGGTCTACTAGTCCATTGGTCCATTAGTCCACTGTAATACTAGTGTAATTCCATTGATTTCAGTGGAGTAACTTCTGATTTACCCCAGTGTGAGTACAGAATCATGCTCCAAAAGAAAAGGAGCTACAAAGGAAGAGTGGCCATTTATTTTCAACAAGCTGAAGTCCAAGATGTTGAAGCACTAGATAAATATGGATGGATAAACTCCTAGAGTTTCCCTGTGAGGTAGGTAAGAGACTCAGAGAGCTTCTTTCACCTACTACTGAAGTACATCACAATCTGTGGTGAAAAGTTGCATCTCTCCAGCAGCGCACAGCAGCCCTGTGCTACAGAACAGTTTTAGGACCATTCTAAGATGCATAAACTTAAGGTTAAAATTAGTTAAACAAATAATTACATACAACTAAATCTTCTGGGGGGAGTTAAATGTACTTTCCCAGGAATTTGGCAGGAACACCAAGCTTAGCAGACTCCTAACTTTACAGAAAGTACATTGGGCCTTTAGAACTGGAATAAATTGTTCAACAAATGGTCTTTCAAGCAAATTTCCTCTCATGATCCCATTATCAACTGTTCGGTGTGAGTACTGTGAGTATTTCTTTGAGAATCTGATATTCATGAGTTAATATTTTAGATGTGTGATTGGTCACCTAAGTTGCACGGTATTGTTTTTGGTCCTTGACTGAATGATCTAAACTTTATAAGCTGCTTCTGCGGGAAATTAACTTTGTTTATTAACTGAACACATTTTGTCTTGTGATCAGACAAACCTTGCATAAAGGCCTGACCTTAATTTCTGTGAACAGCTGCATGACCAAAACTTTGCCTGCCTGAATGCTTAGGAAAGGCAAATGAAAAAGACTGAAAACGGCCAGAGTAAAATTCATTTGCTTGTGAATAATTTCTTTCACTATTCACTGAGTGACAGGGCTGGAGGAAGAAACAGAAATGTCCTTAAAGATTAAAAGGACTACCAGGGCCAACCTTAGGGAAAATGACACCCTGGGTGAATTTGTATTTTGGCACCCCTGGACCCCACTGCCTCCCCATCCATCCCCCCCGGCCCCACTTCCTCCCCAGGTTCCCCTCACATAGCATCTGACCCCTGCTGTGTCCCTGGGCTCCCTACCCATCACCCCTGGCCCCCACTACTTCCCTGGGGTCCCCACCCCTCCATTACCTCCCGGCCCCACTGCCTCCTCTCCGCCCCCCCCCCCCATTGCTCTGAGCTCCCTTCCATGGCCTCGCACTCCAGGCCCACCCTGCTCCTTGCCTCTTGTGGTTGCCCGTGTCGCCCACCCATAAGGCCAGCCCTGAGGACTACTCAGTATTTATCAGGGATAAGTTGTTACTTGCAGGTGCAAAAGGTAAGAGCAGAAATCACAGCCAAGGAAATGAGGTGGTTCTGTAGATTCTATGTGAGGAGGAAGCAGAGCATAAATGTAGAAGGGACAGCTGAGTAACTGTGCAAAAGTACAAATGAATGAAAAGAGGAAATAAGGTCAAACAGTGGTTCTCAACCTTTCCAAACAACTATACCGCTTTCAGGAGTCTGATTTGTCTTGCATACCCCCAAGTTTCACCTCATTTTAAAACTACTTGTTTACAAATCAGACATAAAAATACAAAAAATGTCACAGCACAATATTATTGAAAAATTGCTTACTTCCTCATTTTATCATATAATTAAATACATTGATTGAAATATAAATATTGTACTTAGATGTCAGTGTGATACTTAAGCCTGTTTTTCACTTGTGAATCTTGTCAGAAGCCGAGCCCCGCTGCCCAGGACTGACGCACGTAACTTAGCTTTGCGGGGGACCCTGTGGCATGGGACCCCATGCAATTGCCCTGCTTGCCCCCCCCCCATGCTGGCCCTGCACTTGCAACCCCCCTAAACACATCCCCGGATCCCCCTCGGGGTCGCAACCCCCAGATTGCAAAACACTGATCTAGATGAGTACCCCCTTGGAAACCTCTGTGTACCCCTGGTGTCTCAGTGAACTCAATTTTCCTCCTTCTTACTCTTTTAAGGCCCAGTTTTCAAACTATCTGTGGGATACAGCTATGTGCAAAATGAGAGTGAGGTTGCAAGCCCAACCTTAGAATGCAATTACTATTTATATTATATGCATTTACACATGCAAATTTGTAACAGAATATCTAAAGTGTGGCTACTGTCATGCATATTGCGTATTGCTATGTACAGTAATGGCAATTCTGGATGAAATTCACCCTAGTGCAGAGGGCTGCACAAGGCCTATCAACCACTTAACTGGCATTTCATCCCTCAGAACAGGTCTTAAGTAAGATCTAAATGGTGGACAGGTCTCGTGCAGGCCCTTGTCACAGAAACACATTCACTCTGAATGCACAAATTTAGTACACAATTGCTTGTGCATTTTTGCACAGGGGGTTGGGCTTCTGGTATTTTTTGAAAACAAATCAGTCATTTAAGACACAAGTTGGAAATGTCTAGCCCATTTACTGATACAATCTCCCAGATTCAAGTGGAAATGTCAAATTCAGAAATGTACTTTGATATAAAATGCCACAAACCTCCTCCATATCTTGATTTTAAGCAAAGATACTGGTTTGTATTCTGGACACCATTTGTTATTAAACATTTCACTAAGGCTTTCCAGCCCAATTAAGAAACATCTGTGTCCACTATGTCTAGAACAGGCAGAGTCAAATAAGAATTTGATGGGATGGGTTTCAGACCATTTATTGCTAACACAGTAAATCTAGAACAGCTGAGGCTGATAATTGAATCTTGAATGTCCCATCTTACAAGCTATACAGGAGTACAAAGGGGCCGATTCTTAGCTGGTGTGAAGTAGCTTAGCTCCACTGAAACCAAGGGAGCTTCACCAGTTCATACCAACTGACGATCTGACTCCAGGTTTTTTAACCAAGCAGGAGGTGGAGGGGTGGGGGGGGAAGGGGAAAGAGAGAATGACATAATAAGGAAAAGCTGGATGATAAAGGCCTAGTCATAAATCACAAGAGCGAAGCCAATGGACGTGATCTGAAAAACTTCAGAAGTGCAGGTCCATGTATCAAAATGTGCCCACAATTGTTTGCTCTATGTATACTTGCAATCATTGTTTATTCACAAGGACAAATGGGCAGAACATGCCTCCTGGGCTATTCACAAATGCACATACTTAATTTGCATGCACAATCACAGTAAATGTTGTGCAAATTATGCATGACATTGCACACACATTTTTGCACTCTGTCCTGTGCTTTTGAAGACACAGAAATCAAGTCCTTAAATTCAAATAGTTCTAATACAACTTACGTGCATATCAATTTCAGATAAGAGATACTTTCTAACCATTGAGAATGAAACAAGAACCTGAATTTGCAAACCAAACCTACTTGGAGTCCAGAAGCTCAGCTGCTGATCACACAGCCTCATTTACGGGAAACCATCCAGGTGAAAGAGAAACTAACGTTGTTTCTTTTCCTACTAATACAGCTTTGTATACTCTAGCGATATTGTTTTTACCATGTTATCTTTGCAAGCACAGATAACACTGTGGTTACAGATAATTATTTTTGCAGATGCCAGAAATTAATCTGTAGTAGATTATGTCCTAAATTATCACTTTCGTTTCTTTCATAGCTTTTAAGGCCAGAAGGGACCATTATGATCACCTCCTGCTTGATAAAGGCCATTGCAACTTCTTTGCATTCTAGTAATTCAAAATGGGTTGGTTTTCTTTTTCAGTGACCCAGCACCCCAGCCTGTTGTTGGAGGTGCTGCCATATTGGAAGCGCTAAATCAGAGATATATGCACGTGGAGCAACACTCAGCTCATTTGAGGGAGAGGGAGAAAATAGCTGCCTACCACTTTCCCTGTCCCTACCCACGCCTCCGGTCCTTAAACCTGTATTAGCTTCTAATGGCTCCCTAAAGACTAACCCACCAGTGGAGATCACTGGAGCCAAGCACACTCCAGTCACACACCCTTTCTACACCATGGGGACTGGGAGGGATGGAGTAGAGCCAATTACTCCAGCTGTACATCGTCCTCAAGGCTCATTAGGGCATCTTTAAGTCTCCATTGAGCCCCCAAAGCAGTACAAAGGAGAAAGAACAGAGCCAAAAAAAGTGACCTGCCATCTTTTGGATATAAAATCAAGGTCCTGATCATTAAGAGGCCCGATTGTCAGAATTTTAAGCATGCAGACAAGTATAGAAGTTTGCACATAAATATTGCAACTCCTCACTCATTCATAACTGTGTCTGCAAATTGCCATTTCAAATCACAACTGGTCACATCTATGTGCAATTACTTAAATTGTGCATCTAACTATCTGAAAATCAGGCTAGTAAAAACTGATGGCACTCTTTAGAAGATCGGGGTTGTTACCACTGGTGTCTTGGAGAAGCTATAACTCACATGATTTCATTCTAACTATTAAAATTCCCTCTGTGATCCCAGCTGGATTCAGTGAGTTTCACTTTCTGTCCTAATCTACTGTACAGTCTTGCAGTTGTTGTTAAATACTGCCCAACCTTTACCAAAGAAGTGACTGAACAGTGGTAGACAAAGTAATTCATAGGTAGATACGATTAGATTCAGATTAGCTACTATCACCTAGGTGACCAAGACTCAAGGTTATTCATCCAAGAGTTCTGAAGGAACTCAAATATGAAATTACAGAACTACTAACTGTGATATGTCACTTATCACTTAAATCAGCCTCTGTACCAGATGACTGTCCGATAGCTAGTACAATACTGATTTCTAAAAAATGGCGATTCCAGAGGCAATTCTGACCATTACAGCCGGTAAGCCTAACTTCAGGACCAAGGCAAACTGGCTGAAACTGTAGTAAAGAACAGAATTATC